GTCCTTGGTGCCTGAGGTTTCAAGCTCCTTCTTGTCATCTTCACTGCTAACTGCTTTGGGGCTTTCCACCGAAGGCGGATTACTTGAGTCTTCAGGATCCTTCTTCAACTCGGTTTCGAATTCTTTTGCGGCCTGTACAAAAATTGAAGATAGGGTGTTTAGTATGACAGATCACAGAAGTTCAACATCAAAAGCAATATACTCTATGCACGTGATTCTTGCATGGATAATGATCTGATGAAATCTGGCAACTGAAGAATAGCATGTGGAACATGAACAAAAGAAATGCATACCATTAATCAAGCTAGAAAAAAGAAAAAATTATGGGTAAGAAAATCACACTTTTAAATGGAAGGAATATGCTTGAGGCGTTAGCCATCGTCCCTTGTTTTAGATAGTAGGTCATCTTACTCTCCTGGTGGAATGCCTGACTTTCAATCTCCACACCGTGCAAGTTATGCAGTTTCCTGCTGTTACAGTGGATGATACCCCTCCTTCATGTGTTATCAGTTTGAAAATGTTTGATAGACCTTGAATACTACCTTCTACTAGCAGGAAACTTAAGCTATTTAACCACAGAAAATGGATTTCACCTGCTTCACCTATGTTCAACAAGACTACTACTGATGAGAAGCCAGAGGTGGGCCCTCAAGGATTCATATCTTTTACCACAAAGACACAATGCTTGCGTGTAGTAACCATAGTCTCACAATAAATGGTCAGTCCATGAGCAACACACATGCTTATATTCATAGCACTCACAATAAAGATTCTCAGAAGGAAACAAACTTAAAACCAGCTCGGATATGCTGTAATATTACAGCATCTATTCTATCCATGATAAATTAAAACAGACCCTAGGATTATAGTGCAAAGTTCTGCAGTTTTAGAATCCCAACCTTGTTCGAGGACCTCTATATGCAAATGTAAATAAGTCTCTGGTACAGCACCCACAAAAATTTACTATCATCATAATATATTAGTTGAAGGCAATTAAATCTAATTGGTATTTGTTTGTATTTTGTCTCTGGGTGTGACACTGATAGTCATTAAAAATTAAGAAAAAATGGATCAGAGACATTTGTGAATCAGGTCATGTTTAAAACAGAGAGAGATGGCAAAAACTGGTCCATCTACCCAGTACATGCTGGGTGAATCAAGTCCTTGATCAACAAAGCCTGAGTTGCACTTACACGAATTGCATGTATACTTTCATAACTGGAACAACTGTGTTTTTGTGGAAACCAAGACAAATCACAAAAAAAAACTACACAACTTCTCCAGGAAACCAAGTAAAAACAGACTGCAGCTGAAAGGTCATGCTTCAATAATTTATAGAAAACAACACTATAAATATTGATATTGTAGACTTACGCAGCCCTGATAAGACAGAAAGCCAAGTACTGCATTATTAGATAAGATACAACAAAATAACTCATAGTGAACCCTACACTTTTATCATCAATGTTCTAAAAGGTCCATAAAGGTATTGTATTGACAAAAGTTTTAGCCTTGATGGGAGACCAACATCAATAAATTCTTAAAACCAACCCACAAAACACAATAAATTCACACTCAACTGAAATAACTAACTCATGGTCAAGATGCAGCACAAAATTAGAACTCAAGTCTAAGGTATGCGCTAACTAAACCAAAAAATAAATAATTTCATTTCCGGTGCTCTTCTGGAAACAGTTGACAAGAAGTATCAAAAAAGGAATTTAAGTTTCCAAAGCAGTGATATATAGGCACTGAACTGGAGTGGTCGGGGCTCTTCTTTTAACTTTAAACTCCAGTCACCTCATTTTTTAAGACCGATTAGAACTTCACTTGGCTATGTAAAAGCCCTACTGATGCCTCTAGCACACAACCACACAAGTACCACTGAGACATCACTGAGACAGCTGCAAGGATGGGGGAGGCGGAAGAGAAGGCTCGAGAAGGGGACAAAAAATGTGTTCTTTATTTTTTTATTGTTATTGATTGTCTTTGTGCTCTTTCTTCTTCTTTGGCTTCCCTACAACCACTGTGTGACATGACAATTCTCCACCCATGCCATGAGAAGTCATGAGCCAGCCAGTGACCAAGATCCCCTGGTCTTGATAAATGCTTAAATCCCTGGATGGGTGTCTCCAAGAAAAATGTTGACAAATTATTAATTATTCACCAGCCATTAAAACAAAAAAAAGGAGTGTTTGACCACTTTCTCTCACGTAAACATTAAAAGTGTTGAGCTATTCTAATCCTTCAGATTCAGTTAGTTTCTGTTGATGAGATTTTTGGCTACTTTGCCTCATCAAATCTTTTAATGAAAGTTCCAGATGAATTTCTTTTGCAAACTAATGAACAAACTTTGGTGCTTGATTGTTAATGTTTCTGATAAATAAAGAATTGTTTTTTACTATTTAGTCTCTTCCTATTATTAATCATAAAAGGATGTCATATCTGCATCACAATTAACCTTGATTTGAATGTTGCTGGCTCAGGCGACTATAAAACCAGACAGATAAATACTTGCTTTCCAGGTAGAAGAAATTTTGAACAATAACATGCTTTTGCTCTGTTGGTTTCCGACTCACTTCACTTTATCCAAAATTTTTAAGCCATCGTCTGCTTCTTCTCGTGCAGTACAGTAACAATATCAGCAGTATCGAGTGTTCATTTCCAACCCACCTCACTTTATTTATTTATTAAATAAGAAAATGTTCCTTCTTGTACAGTACAGTTACATCATCAGCACTCATAATTAATTATAAATTCAACCAAAAGAGCAATCACCTCCAGAGAATGCTTGTTTGTTATAAGCTCATTCAAATCAATTCTGATGCCTCATATAATTTATGACCAAAAACCTGATTTCCAATCCCATATAGCTCACAAAAATTGTACCTATGTTCTAACATTTGACAATGTTCCAACTTTGCTTCCCCTCTGATATTTTCGAAATGCTGATTCTAACAGCTGTTACCAATCTCCTTAGAGTTCCAGCTTCCAATTGGTTCCTTTATGCACAAGGCGTATTTGATTGCCACGATATCATAACCACAAATAGTTTCTCTTGGCACAGGTTTGGAGTGCCAGAAAAATATCATTCTTAACCAACCTTTAGTTGTTCACATTACAACATTAGGAGTCTCTACAAAGCCCCCTTGTAAACACCTCTGATGACTTGATTACAGTCCAGGAGCCACAAGTCCAGTAGTTCATCTACACTAAAAGTAGCATTTCAGACGGTCAAGGTCAAGTAATGATCCATGACCATGTTCCAACTTCCATCAGTTTTACCAATACCATAACCACTCACTTGTAAAAGAGTACTCACAAGATTACAGTAGTGCAATAGCAATAAATTAGGTTAACCAAACAAGGTTTAAGAGATTGGCCGATCTAGACTACTTTAAACTATTCCTAATTTGACTAAAAAATCAAGCTTAGTTTATGCAACTTGTATACGGGAATCGGACTCCAGTATTGATCAAGATGTCTGCTCAACTTATAAGAACAACCATATGCCCTCATCGTCAATCTCAATTGACGATTGACCATAAGGTGTATGGCTCATTGTAAGTCGTTCCAGCATCCCAAATCTAGTTCTAACAAATGGTCTTATCAAGATCCGGCAGATCCCAGAGTAGTTTCACTACAATATATAATGTCAGACAACATAAACTAATAAAGCTGAAATGAAGCAAATCCAGCGACCAAAATGCTCGAGAGGCGAACGAGCAGAACCTGTTGAAAGCTCTTGATGGTTTTACCGAAGCTCCGCCCGATCTCGGGGAGCTTCTTCGGGCCGAAGACGAGCGCCGCGACTCCGGCGATCACGACGAGCTCGGGGACCCCGAGTCCGAACAAGCAGCGGCACCCGAGGGCGCCGCTCCCGTGCTGCCGCCGAAGAAGGGGGGCGCGGGCCGCCCTCCCTCCGCCGGAGACGAGGAACAGGGAGCTGGAGGAGGCGAGGGAGGAGGGTTTCCTCAGGAGCCGAGGCGTGGATGCCATTAGAGAGGTAGAAGGAAACGCCATGGCGGCCATCTTAGGATCAGCTCGCTCGCTCCCTCCGTATCGGAGTCCACTCACGCCTTCAAGACGATTGATATTTTTCCTCGTTTTGTCTCTTACCATAGGAGTGGGTTACTGGTCGAATGGACCGGCTCAACCGATTTCATCGTAAGAAATAGATCGGACCGCTGGGTCGAACCGGAACCACCATCAACAAGACCTTGACTCGGTCCCTCGTCGTCCGGAGACTGATTGAACCGCCCATGGCCGATCTGGTTCATAGAAACCGTAAGAACCGGCCAATTCAAACCGAATAATTCTGGTTCTATCATCAAAATGACTTAAAAGCCCTCGGCTCCAAGTCATCTTATTCCTTTGTCGAGGATATTATAGTCTTTTGGAAAAAGACAAAAAAAGGAGAAGATAATAGGAAAGAAAGAAGGAAATATAAAATATAAAATACTTTCATGTATAGTTCTTTAGAAATTTGTTTATCTTATCAAACACACAGTTTGATCAATTTGGTCTTTATTTTCTTTTTTTTTAGTTGGTCGATGCATTTCAAAAAATTTTCAAGCAAACATCATAAAATCAAAAACATGTTATGGACTGCAAATAAGAGAAAATCTTATTTTTGCATATATAACTTCTCATCATACACATGTTTTTGCACTGCCCCTCTAACTTGATATATGCATCATAATATCAATTTATATTTAGATAAATGTCTCTCTAGTATAACACAACAATGAAAATGTTACTGTCTCAACTATTTGAAATCAAACAATAAAAACAAAAAGGGCAGACAATGACTTGGAGAAAATTATAGAAATAAACATGCAATTTCACAGATCAATATATATAAGAGAACAAACTCATAACAATTAACTTGGTTGATGTTAAAAATGCAGATTAGGTTGTCATACTGGCGATAAATAAATCCGACAAAGGAACATTTGCTCAGGTCCACCAATTGAAACAAGTTAATGTCTAAATGAAAATTAGAACTGCATTCACCAATGTACACTTTGGCATGGGTTCACATTTCCACAAAGAAAGTCGAACAATTAGAGTTGTTTCCATACAGATTGAACCTCTAACTGAAATCAGATACAGATATATGCCGAAAGAAGAGCTTCGACAGTTTTGACAGTTGCTGTGGACTTCCCAGGCAGCCATCGATTGGGCAGCCACCGAATGATTTAGCTAGTTTTCTTAGTCCAAATGTCAAATGATTCAGGGTTCCAGATAATGAAAATAACAATGAGAAAGATGATAGAATTTGGATACAGGGTAGCACGAAAATGGTGAATATACAGTAAACATTCATCTGTCAAGTGACCTGCAAATTGAGTAACTGAATGCTTTGAAGCTTTTCACCTGCCACCTTCTTCTGCATGCCAGAAATGATGTGAGGCCAGGCTCACCAAAAGAAAGCCTGTCTACTGTGAATGTGACACAGATTCACTAGGTTAAGAAGGCCGAGCAGTTGAGCATCATGGGGACTCAGTCTTCATTTAATCTGATCTTGGACGACTGTCACCATCTCTATGGCGGTTATTGTACAGTGGCAAGAGCCAATGAGATCCAGGCTTCCTACTACCACAACACCGCCAATACAGGAGCAGGACCAACAGCAATATACCAATTGGAATTGCCCATCTGCTCCAATAATAAAAATATTATTGAAAAAAGCTCAGTGAAAAAGGTTTGATGCACACTCGGTTGAAACAATATGAGAAAGGAATTGAGAAAATCTTGCCTGTCCAAATCAAGAAAAGGGCTGTAAACTATAGTCTCCCATGTAGATACGATTACATGCCAAGAAGGATTATAGTACATTGATTCCGATGACCAGAACATTCTTGTATATGTTTCTAAGAAAATAAACATTGCCCAGCCAGCAATCTCCAACAAAAAAAACTTGATGATAAACCGGCCCACCATAGCCACAGTAAGTGAGAAAATCACCAACCAATTTGAGAGTCTATCATTGTAGTCCTTGATGAAAAGTGATCGGGATTTCCCAAGCATCTGGAAATCAAGATCAGAAACAATTCATTAATTCACTGACAAGATTCAGAGTCATTTCAAGATTAGTTTGGATGCCAGGAAGATTTATCTCATGCAAGCAAGAGAGCATGGCATTTTCTTTCCCTGACACAATCAAGTCACATTCAATATTTCGACCAAGCCTCAATGCTATTGACACAAAATAGGAGAAAACTGATTGAAAAAACACGCAATCTAACCTTCATCATCTTCTGTTTATATAATTCTTTCAAAGGCCCAACACATTGTCTTTCAAAAGTTTCATTGCACTGAAGAAAACCAGCATTGAATTTTGCCATGGAAGGAAGTCTCATGACTTGAAGGTGATCCATTTTATCCTCACACTCTGTGTATTTGGCTTCACATAATTTTGATGACTGATATTCATTTTCCAGGAGAAACGTTCTGTAAACCTGAAAAAGTGCTCAAACAAGTAAACACAAAAACAGTATAATAAGCATGACAAACATCCAAGCCTAAAATCAAAATAAGAAAGAGATTATCCTTAAGAAACAGGTATTCATGAATATCTACAGTGGACCACTATTGAACAGAGAGAAGTTCTATCTCATTTAGTACAAGTTGAAAATTTCACATGATGCAGACTAGGCAAGTCCTACTTATACCCAGATCCACTTCAGAGCATGTTCTAGCATATTTTTAGTATCACCACCAAAAGTCCAATTTCAAAACACTGATTTCTGGTCCAAGTGCTCGTCTCTTCTTTTGCTTTGAAAGATCAACTGCAGTCCCCTCAGTAAGAAAGCAGATATTAAACCTCTCAGATATAAGTTCAGTTACTTGTACCCAGTCCCTATTTAAGCAAACCATAGCATTGTCAAGAGAAATATGAAGACAACAATTACTTAAATACCTTTGACCATTTTGTTTTCAGTTTTATACTCTGTTTCCTGTCTTAAAGTTCTCTTAGTATTCTACACCTATCCATCTTCTAGAGCTTTTTATGGGATTAGAGTTGAGAACAGAGATCTAAAAAAGAGACAGGAAGACTAAAAAAAGCATAGGTTTTTTTGTGAAATAGCAGGAACTATTTTTCCAACGGAATAAAGAGAAAATTTTTGTCAATAAAGATTTCACCATGGCAAAAAAGTATTAGTATTGTGTATAGTTATGGTTATTTTAACTCAATGGACTAACATATACAATGGTTTATATATAAAAAAAAGGTTTCCTATACATCAATCTAAAGTTGTATGCACTAATATGCAGATTTCAAAGATCCTCGATATTGGCACTTCTAAATTACAGTACCTTCCAATCACATAATTTAAGGGTCAAAGATATTCCTCGCAGCTCCTCTCCTATACTGCTAAACATTAACCAGAATTCTAAAAAAATATTTGCAGTTCTAACTATTGTTTGTTGATAGATGTTTTCACCTATTTATTCTCCATGATTGTAAAGTGAAGAAGAATGCTAGTGTAGCTCTTAAAGGGTCTCAATTGGTACCACTCGTCAATGCAAAACTTTAACATTGAACACATGGTTGTACCTTTTGTATTTCATCATCAAGTTTCACAATAGATTGTTCAGCATGATGCCGACCAAAACGCTGCCGATCAAACAACTTTTTTGCTTCAGCCTTTGATTCTTCATGAACTTCTTGCAGCCTGTTTTCTTGTATTGGTAGCCGCATAATGTCCATCCGTTGACTGTATAATTTCAAGCAACGCTCAAGAATCACCTTATTGAATACTTCAACGATAGAACCTGTGGATGGAATCTCTCCTTTATTTAAGGCTTCAAGAATCTGAAAAAAAACAATGGATACAATAATCAGAATTAAGCATGATGCATATGAGCTTCTTCTGGATACTTTAAATTCAGGTTGATGTTCTCAACTTGTGCATGTAAACCATGACAAATAACCAAGGATAATGACAGTATCAAATTAATAATTTAGGGAATGAAGAGAAATTTATGCAAAAGCACCTGCTCTAGGAAAGCTACAAACTCATTTCCGTTTAGAGGTTTTCCCTGGATAATTTTTGGACGTATGATGGTTGCAACAAGTTGTTTCAACTGCTCCCTCTTTTCCACATACAATTGATCCAGCTCACTGTCCTTCATGTCACAAAGTTTTGTCCTTTGAAGATGAGGCTGTCATAAGTTCAAGGCTCTTGTAAGCACCACGCAAAATTGCATGAAATGAATATCAGCACATATGTTATCTTATAAAAACTTAGAAAAATAACTTCCAAGTGTGGGCATTGTAACACAATTATGATGCACATTAGTACATTACAACAATAAACTAATAGGACCTTAGCTGATATGCTACCCAGGTTATGGAGCTTTGGATCCAAATTCAGCTAACAAAATAACAACAGAAGATAAATAAAAGAGCTTGTAAGTTCCCGAATATTGAGAAAGCTAAGGCACACATGAAACATGGATAATTCAAAATGCACACCATGTCCATTGGAATAGATACTCAAATATTAGATACCTCTTGACGCATGTTCAACACTTCATCAGATGCCCTTTTTAGTTAATTATTGAAAAAACACAGACATGCTTTTTGCTATCAGGGGATAGTTTCATGAAACTATTGGATTATCCTTTTTTTAAAGTGTGCTGACCTTTTAATGGTGGAACAATGGAACATACACCTTACGTAAGCATCTTGATGCGAAGAGCTGCTTTTGTAGACAAGTATTGCTGCCAGAGGCAATAAGCACTCTGCTACCTTATTTCTTGACATAAGGTACTCATCTGATTTCTTGGGCATTTACCACAGCATTGCAGTTTTATTACATTTCTATTGAGTATCAACAACCATACTGACATTTTTTCATATCTTTCTTGCTGTTGGAGTTGTTGAGAAGATGTTTTATATAGCAGGATATTTTTCTGTGCATTAAAACATCCACATCACTGATTCCTGCTAGGATGTTCTACAGTAGAGTAATTCTTCCGTTTTTAACAGCTCTGTGCAAAGTTTTATTGAACCTAAAACTCTTTAAAGCCCTCAAAGCAAACATGAAGTTCTCATGTTGTTGGGCCAAAACAAACGTTGACAAAGGCATACCAAAGAAGACTTCTCTGGAATCTCTGAATCTCCTAATATATAATTATTGACGTAAAATCAACTGTGATATTGACAAGATAAGTTAACCAAGTTTACCTGTGGTAAGCTAAAGGCAGTACTATTGTCACCCATTATTGCCAAGGAGTCTCGAATTTGGTTAACCTGATGCACCAAATGGAAAAGGATAGCAAAGGTTTTACAATAAAGATGGACGCGAAGCCCATAAACTGCTAGTGTAGAACAATATCCTAATATTGTTTATTCATGCATAAAAGTCTAACTTTACAGTTTGACCGAAGGCCGCACCTGATCAATGTTTCTGTCTCCTGAAATTGAAGAAGAATTTTCAATTTAAACTACTAGGCATTGTATAAGTTTCCTATATGTATCAAATACAGGTGAAGAGAATATCAGCTAAGACAGACCATTATTGTTAGGTACCCGCCGAAGGGCTTCATTCACCATTTCTTGAACAGACTTTCCTTCTGTGTAATCATAATAAATATATTTTGGTGAAATAGATAAATTAACGATACAGAGCGTGAAAAGATTGTAAAGAAAATGCAGACATGAAAGGACAAAACAATATCACAAAGTTATGATCAACAAAAGAGTGGTGCTCAAAATTCAAGCTACATAATGTAACAAAAATGAGAAAAATTAATCCCACAGGCATTGGGAAGCAGCAACCATATTAACTGGCGTACAACCTAATGGACTGCTCCAAATAGAAAATTTGTGTCAAAACACTATATCAAGCAAAAGCTGAGATGTCAGAAAACTTGAAATAAAATCTCTTTGAGATGCCCTTTGATCTTATTATCTCAGGCTGTTTGACATGCCATTTTCTTTTCTAACTTTATGCCTTATTTTATGGCCAATACAAGTAAAACATATAATTATGATTTTACAAATGCAAACTAGTTCAGGGTGTTTCAGTTTACAAAACTTGGAAGTGATTACCTACCGTGCACTGTACTCGGCAGAAGATTCCGTTGTTTCATATTCTTGGCAAAACATTTTATTGCCTCATATTCTTATTTTTTGCTGTAATTACTACTATTTCATCCTTATGGCCTATCTTTTATTGTTGCTGTTGTTGCCTACTTATTAGCCTTTTAAGACATGTTCACAATTACAAATGTGTATTATTACCGATACTTCAAACTATTTCCAAGCACATGGCAAAGAAAAACATCAGCTTACGCAGGAAATCCCGTTGGATAAGCCACAAGAGCTTAGCAGGCTCAAATGCAACATCTTGCCCCTGTATAAATACCCAACATTGTCAATAATTATAAGAAGGTCTAGTTTTCCAGAACATTAAGAACATAATATCAGTAGATTACCTTTACCCTGATCTCCAAGAAGCAGCAGATGAGCAAATACAGAAGTAGTTAGAAAGGAAAAAACCAACAAACTTATAATACAATTTTTTGTATTAACAGAACTCAAAAGACCTTCCATAAAACTCTTCTGCAATTTCAACAGCAAATGATAGCCGAGATATATCAGCCTCACGAATCTACAACATGAAGCACCAAAAACAAATCTTAGATGAATTCATAAGGGAATAAATCTAATCGAGAATATATTAAAGAAGTTACTAGTGCCAATTATAGGCTGATAAAATTTCCACCAGATAGAGAACAAACCGTCTCAGGGAGATTATAAATGAGCACAGAGCTCATAACTGTAGCCAGAGCAAATATCCTGTAGAATATGAACAGAATGAACATGAATATATCTGATGGCAAAATAAATGAATTTTAAATATTACCTATCATCGTATACATTTGATTTTCCAACACTTTCAAATCCTTCTGTATCAAGGTACAAGATAGATACTTTTGTTCCATCAACATCTAAGTCCACTGGTGTACCCCAAACCCACATTCCTACACCAAAAGAGACTTGATTACAGAAGGATATTAAATCTTAAAAAGAACAAGAGAAATATTGTGAATTTAGTATTCATGACGACTACTATAAGGAAATAAGACAAATCTTAATAAAGACTGGAAAGACAAATATTAAAAAAATTAGTGTAATTAACCTTTGGTTTTAGTATCACGCATATGTCCAACCCCAAAACCTGCATGTAATTATTTATTTGTGTTGAAAAATTAATCTTAGCCTTCAGTCATTTATCAAAAGAGAGAAAGCAATAATAATAAGAAATGCACCTTCGTCGCATGAAAGGGAGAGAAGTTGGTTGAGAAGAAAGGATTTGCCTGAGCGATATGGTCCAATAACCTATGATAGCAATCATGGTCACGTTAACAAGAAGAAAAAGGAGATCATGATGAGACTAATTAAGATGATGACAGCTAACAATTACATGGGGAAATATTGCCGCAGCACCAAACTATTATGATGACTTCGTCTAAAAGCTTTAAGTTATATCCATCCTAATACCCATTACAAGATTACTGTCTAAGGGAGAGCATAAATTCTCCATAGGACATTTAAGAAGAAGGATCATGTGACCTTACTGAAGGAGAGTCAGCTAGCATGATATGCTAACAATAGAGAAACTTCTCGAGTTAGAAAAAACAAAGAATAAAATTAGTGTGCTAAAAAGCCATTTCTAAATAGTTATAAAAACTTTATATTATTTATTTGTTTATATAATCAATTTATGTAAACAAAAGCAAAGAATAAAATTAGTGTGCTAATAGATATCTAAACGGTAATTTTGTATATTATTTAAACAATAATTCTATCCTCTCACACATACACAGTCTTGACTCAGAAACCTCCGAACAGATGCATACTTGGTGGCAGCGGATGGTAAAAGTTGGAACATTGATAGATGATAGATGATGTGATGGTGGTGGATGATGAACACAAAGGTCCTGTTGCATAGTGATGTCAAAATCAGGCATTTTTCTGCTTTCTCTTTTGTCTGCCTCCCACTCTTAGTATTCTTCTTTCCCTCCCCAGCTTCTACAGTTATGACAAGCAGAAGGTGCCTCATCTTCCTCTAGCAGATCAACCATAGTCCAACATGTCAACCAAGATCAGATCTCTCGTGGCCGACCCTGGCCTGGACCAGTCAATCTTGAACCATGGAACGAATGATCTAAATAAAGATATCACAAAGGAGTTTGCGGACACTTCAAAATTTACAAATTATTAAACACAAGTTGGTGATAGTAACTGTCAGTGTTAATCACACAACTTTTTCCACCATTAAGCTTTGCTGAATGCAATAACTAGTCAAAATAAGAACCAGCAAATCCTGTTATATTTTTCATTAAAAAATCCTTTTACATCTTGTGCCACAAATCTAAGTGCAGCTAAACAGTGCATTTAAAGGTCTTCTAGGGACATATCCAACCCATCTTAAATGGTTTTCCCCACATTTTGTCATCAGGCAAAACTAACTGTAATTGTTCACCAAAGCAAACATTTCTAACTAGCCACATCTAAAAACAATCAAGAACCGAGAATTAATTGTTCACATCTAAATGATATGAAGAAATAGATGTTTTCCGACCAAGTATTGTAGAAGTAGAGCCGAAACATTCACACAGATGAAATACATAAAGTTGGAAAATATAACCTTATCATGGCCCTTCCTACCACTCCAATAATTATAGAACATAGAGGTTAAAAAATAACAAACTCATGTAATATGAACTTGAGTGAAATAAGAATGAACATATGCAATAAGAAAAAATAAAAAGTGCACGACTCTATCTGCATACAAAGAACCATGCGACCAAGGGAAAAAACTCAAACTTCTTATAATTTGTCAGGGAGTCTAGAGATAAAGTTTCTACTTACAGCAACAACAGCTATAGGGTTTGTAATTCTTTGGATTGCCTCCAAACCCTCTCTTGCAAGACGGATTTTAGTATGTTCAGAATCTGGCTCCACAATGGGAAACCTGCAAAAACAGCTATCAAGATAGAACCAAAGGCAAAAGAAGCTTTGCAGTTTCCTTCTAACTCAACCAAAAGGGGCGTTTCAAAGTTTAACAGTATAATTTTTCTTAATGCAACAACAATGTCTACTATTTCCCCTAAGTGTCAAGGGATATATAAAGGACCTAGCCATCAAGGTGGTCCGGCCAATGTCGCATGCTAATCAGCAGATATAGCTGAAAACTGAAAGTAACCTCAAGCACCAACATTGGTATTAGAAAGATGAAAATGCATACTAGCAAAATCCGAGTTTACCTGAAAGGAAGATTCTTATGTGAATATATTGTACCATTCTGAACCATAATGATAGTGAAGAAAGCATAAGATGGTGACTTGACTAAATATATATGTTTAAATACATCAAATTCCAATGAAGGGAAATGGATAATAACATGGTACACAAAACTATGACATCAGTGAGTCTAAGCAAAAAATCATTCATGGATTTTAAGGGTTGCAGCATGCAACAATTTAAGCAAATTTGTTGCATTTGATATTTAATTGGACCAAGACTCACCCAAACTTAATTTCACATCCAGTGTTCGGCATACATAAGTTTGGTTATAGATGAGTTTCATGCAGAGGTTTCCATGTAACAGCAGAGTCACATGAGAATGTAATGGATCAAGAAAAGGAAAATCAACAAGATACGGTTGCACTAATCTGAAACAAATCATGTTTGTCTTGAGCTTGCACCAATTTTTAAGGTTGAATTTATTTTCTAGAAAAGATCAACAGCTTCTACAGACAATATCACTGAAAAAACCCAACACTGCAACACCTGGCCATTGAAAATGTGGGGTTTAGTCCTGGTGCAGTAATATTGTTCATGAAGGGATTGAAATGTACTTGGGTGGAGAAAACGAAAATGGTATAGCTGAGATCATGATAGGGAGGGGTTCAGGTGGCAGAGAAGGATAGAATTCTGCTGATCACAATGTGTTCTGCGTCAAGCTAGTCTTGATAAGCTGTGACAGGAACCGCCGGAGTTCCCTCGTTTTGGCGAATTTGGTCTACAGCACGGAAACAAAAATGCGAAGAGAGATAAATTTGCAGATGGAGGCTGAGGAGGACAGTGAACACGTGCATGGTAGCATCTCTAACATTTCTCTGTCTGCGGGGCAAATAAGTAGAATGGATGAACGCCAGGCCTTGGTACTTGTTTCAAGTAGATTAGAAAAGAGAGCTAGACAATTAACAAGAGGCTTTTCTTTCCTAGTTTCATCCATTATGCATCCACTACACATATTCCTTTACCATTGTCATCAACTCACTCTAGAAAAATGCCCTTGTAGTCGAAATTACATTCGCTATGATCCACAAGCACAAACAGAAATCAGCTCCAAGATTTCATCTTTCCCCACCAAAACTATTCCTTTCCACCGAACGCACGCACACAAAGGTCAATCCTAACCAACGCAAATCGAACAACCGAGAGAGCAGATCACACTTACGCTCGGCGGAAATCGTCCGGATCAGAAGCAGCAGCGGACGCCAAGAAGAAGCCCAGGACCACCACCCAAAACGCCAAGTTTCGGAAGGACGCCCCCATCTCCTCACTTGTACCCCCCAATCTCGGGCCACGCCGACAGCGAATCCCACCGAGCTACCAGATCAGGGAAGCCGCCCCTATGAGGCGCTCCACGAGTAAAGATCTCCACCGGCTACAAGATAGGCATCGCTTTCCCTTTCCAATCCGGGAACTGCAAAGCGAGTTCGCGATCCAAGGAGAAGGAATCCTTGCGTCGGAGGGAAGAACGAGCAACGAGGACTTGGTCGAAGGGGGAGCGAGCGAGAGGTCTCGAGATTTGAACCGTTCTGATGCCACGTTAACCTTCCTCTTATTAGAACCCGGCGGCAATCCGACGGTGTTCTTGCGCTTCATGATTCGGGTTCAAAGTGATGGACGGCTGTGGACGCACAAGGCCGAGGCTGGCTTCGTATTTAGTCCATACCTTTAATGCCTCCCAAAGCAAGCAATTATTGTACAGAAAGACTCTGTCAGAATGAAAATAACATCACATATAATTAATATTATTGTTCTATGCATTTGACGTCATCAAGAAAAGCTGATTTGGTTTAGCCAATCGGTTTAGCAGACAAATTTGGCTAATTGTCAAACGAAACTAAATCATGTTGTAATATAATATGCATGATTTGAGTTGTTGAATGAGAATCCCACTACAGAAGATGTTATTTAGGAAAGTTGACTTTGCTCATGATTTTGATGCCACATATAACACTAAATCATTTGAGTCATAAATGGTGGGGGATCAAAAATTAGGAGTGGCAAATGATTGATTAACAAAGTAATAAACAGTCCCAAAAAAGGCATTGAAGGAAATAATGTCACAAATTTTGTACCCTTCCAATCCATGCATATTTCTATAGTTTGATGCAAAATAGATGGGTATAAGCTTTATTTTACATTCCTTTTGGTCTCCATAAAGATGTATATTTATGGTGAAAATATATCACAGTATGTGGCTGCAAGATCACACAAATTAAAAATAAAAATGATGAAATTAAGAATAATAGTATGAATTACCTGATTTTTTTTGTTCTTTTTGGAGAAAAAAATCCATTAGTAAAAAAGCTTAATATGACATGTTTCCTAGTCAAAAAGATTAAGTGCCATCAATAATATATTTAATTAGTTAGAGCATAATTTGCAAGTAGATGAGGTCTAAAGTTAGCAATTTTACTTACATGGATCAGATGATCTAAAAGAATTAGCAATAATAAAATACATGAGAGTAGCTGCAAATTATTATTTGAATATATATATATATATATGCAAATATATATTAAATTATATATTATATTAAAAAAAATAGAAAAACAATTTTTCAATATAACAAAAAAGATAAGCTTGAAAAAAGATATTAAGAAGATGAAAGAGTAACAAATAAAAATAATTTTTTTTTCATGCCCATAATAATTTAAATAATTTTACTAAAAATAAATAAATATATATATTTTTAATCTTTATAAAATTCAACCACTATAATTATTGGGCTTGCCATTAGCTCATTTCTTGGTTGAGTGATTCAGAACCATTGGGATCATGACAATGCCAAAAGTCCATCTCATGCTCCAACAAAACATTTTTTTTATTGTAGTCGAAGTCATAGTGATCGAGAAATCATCGACCTATCTAAATGGTTAAGCGGGTGGAAGAGACAGGATAGGATCTATTCGATTATTATCGAGATTTCTTCATCTCAAGAAGTGCGATTAGTCTGTTTTGATCAAGGAAAAGCTCTCGATTCATGCGAAGAAGAAGAACACAGGCCCCCAAATGCATCGAGGTTTCATGGATCTCCGAGCAACCATATTCACAGAGAAAATTGAGCGTAATAGAAACGACTGCAATGAGTTCAGACTGATTACTTACTCGTTGAAGAGAAGTTTTCTAGTAAGGCGAGATGAAAATGTTTGGATTGTGCTTGTGAAAATGAGCAGCTCCTGCCATCTTCAACATCTTGAGCTTTATGATTCAATCATGGAGCTCAGAGACATGCATTCCACATATTCTTCGGCTAATATTGGAAGTGCAATGAATTCGGCCTCTCTCATGAACACGGCATGGAAAGCTGTCATAAATTTTCTTAATCATTGATAGGAAAATTTATGGACCATCAATCTTTGTGTGTAGAAGAAGAAGAAGACTTCCACAATACAACCAGCAGCTGTGATGTCAACAACAACAACAGCTGCTCGGTAAGCAACTCGAAAGAAGCCAGCAGCGTCGGTAGGAAGTTGCTTTCCGGGAAGCAAGCATGATAATTGTTGACATTATCGTGGGGCATCGGTCTCAAGAAACCACATCAGACACTTGGCAAACCGAGTGAGAGGGCCTTCCGGCAATCACCCATGCTTTCGCCTCTTCTGTCCCCAACCAAAGTGGGGATGGACCCCCACAGTTCGCCGTGCACAGAAAACCTGGAGAACTGGCACCTTTGCTACCCCAAAGTTGGGTTAGGGCAGTGGCCTCTGCTGCTGGCCACAAGTCAGTGACAGAAAAGACTCTGATCATTCATTGCTCTTCGAAGAAGAAGAGCTTAGAAAGATGGTGGAACAAGAAGAAATCCCAGGTTTTTCTTCGGAGCCGGACGAAAGGTAAAGTCGAGCGAAGATTTATCTCACTTCTTCACCTTGTTGCCTGCAATCCACCTACCTCTCTGTTTCAGAGACCACCACCACCACCGGCCACTGCCAACTTGCACATCAAAGCGCCTACAGCCAGCCAAAACTAATAGATAATAGTAACGACGATACAAGAGTTATGCTTCTAATGTGATGTACATAAAATAGGACATCTGAATTGATAAAAAGTAAGAGACTAAATAAGGTTCATGAACCGCGCTTTAACCTTATTGGGATCCTGCTCTGTTATGATTCATATAATGAATGCTTCATATATTGTGTGTTCTTCTCGACAGTAGTAGCATAAGCTTCCTTTCCCCCAAAATCTTACAAAAAGAAAAAACCTTTAAAAGGGTTAAAGAAAAGGAGAATATATTAATGCTTAGTGATGATTTGGACTCTTAAAAGACGTCATATATCACTCACTCACTCGCTCGCTTTTTTTTTTTCTTTTTTTTACTGGAAAAATAAGAAAAAAGGAACAAAAATAAGGAAGGCTTCTCAGAGGACAGCGGCTAAGCCGGCGACGACCCTGACACCTGACCTCGGCCTCGCCGGCGGCGGCTGCCACGGCTGCGCCACAGCCACAGCCTCGGCCTTACCCTCCTCCCCCGCTTTGGAGTCGCCGCCGCCCGGTGCCTCCACTGCCCTCTCGAGCTCGGGAATCGGTTCCGCGGCCGAGGTCGAACGGGGATCATTTGCTGGTTCAGCCTCGGGCTTGGCGGTGGACGTGCGGTGGTAGGGGGAGAGCCACTTGGACCGCATGTACTCGGGCTTCCGCCATGGCGGCACGTGGAGGCCCTTCTTCCTCAGGCTCTGCCGCGCCGCCTCCGAGACGGCGGCGACGATCTGCTGCAGCCGCTCGCTCCGGCCCACGAAGAGCGACGGCAGGTGCTGGAGCACCGCGCGGTACGACTTGGTGGACCGGGCGATCTCGAACTCCGACCGGAAGTCGACGTCGATAAGGAGGCGCTCCCCGCCGTCGACCACCACGTCGAGGTACTCGTACTCCCCTGCCGACAACCCAACCATCAGAGGCCGTGATCGGAAGAGGGAGAGACGCAACGATGCTTAGACATTGGGCAGAGGGGAAAGCAGTGGTACCGGCGGGAAAGGAGGGATTTTTATCCCACCGAGACTTGCAGATGGCAGCGTCGTAGCCCAGCGATTGCAGTCCGTCGACCACGATCCTCCGGCATTCGCTCTTACCATTCCAATTCTTGGCCTTCTCCATGATCTTCGATGCATCGGCCAAAAGATTCCTTTCGGCGATGCTTGCGCAAAGAACCAAACCCTATGAAACCCAGGATTTTAGTTCAAATTAGAGAAAGGGGGGCCAAAGATGGAGACTTTTCGCGAGTGTTTGTCCAATTGAGCGACAACGAAGACTACCTCGATGAACTCGGCGGCGTCGCCGGCGCCTGGAGGATCGCCGCTGCCACGGAAATCGAAGTCGTCGTCGGAGCTATCATCGTAGTTAACATTAAAGCAGTTGCATCGGCTCCGCTGCGGCCGCTCATTCCCCCCATCCTCCATGAAGCTGACGACCATCTTGTCCAAGCACACGGAGCTCGGCTCCACCTCGCAGCCGTCGTCCTCCCTCTCCTTCTCCCTCCCATCCCCGGGCTTCTCTGCCGAGGAGATCCGCAGCACGCTCGGGAACTGCCGCTCGAAGAGTCGCTTCAGCCGGGACTTGGCAGCGGGCTTCGCTGCGTCGATCCTAAACGATCCTTTCGCGTCGATCGGCTGGACCTTCATCTGGAACGGCATCGCGCCGGAGATCAAAACCCCACCTTTCCTCTCCCTCCAAACCGCAAGCCAATCACCACTCATCCATCTTCCAACAACACTCAAATCCCGACCAAAAAACGCCAAATCGAGCTAGAAAAGTCCACGAAATCGAGATCAAACCCCAAAGCTACAAACCACCAAGCAAGACAACAACACAGCTGATATCGCCAAACAAAACCGACACCCAAAAATTTCCCGAATGGAAAGCAAAGGACAGTAATCGATCGCCGTCACCAAGTCATTAAAGAGTGCTGCTTTCGCTGCAATTAAAGGTGCATCAGCTCTCCCGACGGGCACAAGGGTACGCCCTTTCCCCTTTCGTTTTCCTAATTCGAAATGATCACGACGACAGCTCAAGAAAAAGGCGTCCTTGAGATCATCGCGGCGAAGAAGATCAGGTTTCCGCCGCGATTCCTGCAGCAGATGCTGCCGGTGAGGCGATTTCTGCCATCGCTCCCAGCGAGGGAGATCAGGTTCGTTGCTCTGGAGAATAGGGGAAGAAGTCGAGAAGCAGGGGACGGGGTTTAAAACGAGCGAGGAGTGTGATCGACGTGGCCCGGATAAAACCCCCCACCCAAAACCGTCACCTTTTCACGCCCAGCCGCAGTCTGTCCGGACTTCTCACCCCGTTTTTACGGATGACCTGTACGTGGGCCAAGGAGAAGTCCAATAACATTGAAGGTGAAAACCGGGTCGGGGCAGGATAAGTAGAGAAGGTTACTTTGGACCAACTGCTGCTCGGCTACGTGGCGCGGTTCATGGAGCGGTTTCTAACCCGGTCCTCGATGGCGACGCGTGTGCGTCCTCCTTTGTCGTTTTGTGTGCTACATCAATGCCCATAATACCCGTATCATCAGAGATACTTTCATCTAATGCCCTGCCCTTATACGAACCGGGCATCGCATTTCGAGGACGTCGGAAGGGTAAATGTGGAAAATCAAATCCGCACGACATACGTCGCTCCCGATTCCCAAG